GGTACTCCAAGGCAGATTTTTAAATTGCCTTTTGGTATTGGGTGGTTTGAGTGGGACTTGGACCACAGACACTCCATAAAGCAGGAAGGAGCACTTAGTAAAGAATAACAATTAAGTAAAGAGAGGTTAGGGTTGTCACTCAGGGTAGGGTAGAGTATGTGTATAGGCTCTGAGTTTGAATCCCAGCACCTTAAAGGAGGGGGAAATAGACAATTATGTTTCAGTTGTCCCTTCATTATCAGCTCAACTAAACTTAGGTGCAGAATTCCCAACACAAGCTAGGCATGGTGGCACAATGCCTATAACCCAAATACACAGAAGGCAGAGATAGAAGGATCACCCACCTAGGCCAGATCAAACAAAGTTAATCCAAGACCCTATCTGAAAAACAAACTAAAAAAAAAAAAAAAAAGCAAAAGGGCTGGGAGTATGTCTTAAGTGGTAGAGGTAAAAAATTCAACCCCCTTTTCTGCTTAAGGAAAAAAAAAAATTCCTAACACAGAGACGATCAAATACCTGGTTCTTGGTGCATGCACTTCCAGGGGCTAAAAGTTTCTTTCTTTCCTCTGTCCCACTCCATTACAGGACCCAACTGTTTTTGTTCAGTTTATAGAGTATAGTTGAGGCGCGGCTGAGTGTGTCACTTGTCTCTGAAGGTATAAATGCTAATCAGATGGCATTCAAGATGGTCTGTCACTCATCACTCAGGATGCATGCGCCCTGCCGAGTAAGACAAAGGTGACAACAATGTCCTGCACAGGACTCTGTGGAGGGAGGAGGGGAGATGAAGTGTTTTGCCTGTGGGAAAGGGAGAACTGTCCAGAGACTTCACTGTCACTGCCACAAGGGTTGCCTGAGTGTCTTTAGCAGCATTTGGGGGGGGGAATTAAGGGGGACTCTCCAACATTGCTCCACTGGCTGCGGCCTGCCCTATCCACCTGCTGCACCAAAGAAGTTCTTAGCAAGCAGAGGCCCCTGCTTCCAAACAATCCAGTCTCTGTGGGGCTCTACTGAGTACTGACGGCCCCGGAGAGATGCCCTTGCCAGGCGCTGGTGGTTCATGACAGTAATTTTAGCTACTCAGGAGGCTGAGATCTGAGAAATGCAGTGAAGCCTGCCCAGGCAGGAAATGAGACTCTTTTTTCCAATTAAAACACCCCAAAGCCAGAAGTGGAGCTGTGGCTCATATGGTAGAGTGTTAGCCTTGAGCATAAAAGCTCAGGGTCAACACCTAGGCCCTGAGTTCAAGCCTCAGGACTGGCACAAAAAGAGAAAAAGAGATGTCCTTGTGAAGTGGCAGGAAGGAGAGGATCAGTCTCAGTGGAGGTGAGGGGGGGGGGCGGCGAGGCACCCAGAATAGAGAAGAGACTGGAACAAAACAAGTTCTTAGATTGGCTTGTGGTGAGGGCCTCTGAGTGTACAGTTCCTGTTACCTTCTAGCCTGGATGTGCCTAGTATAGTTTCATTGAAATGCCAAGGTCCTAGAATCCAGAAAGATCAAGATCTGCCAAACCGCAGAAGCAATGGTGAGAGCTGAAGGAGAGGGGCCAGCACACTGAGTGTCAGCTTCAGGGTCTGGTGGCAGCAGAGAGAAGTACACTGAGCCATTGTGCTATGGAAGGGGTTTCTTGAAAGAAAGGTTGAATGTCTGGTGAAGGGACGAGCTCTTAGCTAAAGTTCAGTCCAGCCCTTGGTACAGTGTGTGGCCATTCTGTGCAAGCAAGGCATTGTGGTGGTTCTTCATGGGAGCTAGAGATGAACAGGATATGGTCTCCACTTCAAGAGTCTGAAGCTTCTTGAACTAGTCAGAAGAACAGAACCACAGATCATCTATAGTATAGATCCTATCTATACTATACAAAATGCTACAGGATGTTACTGACACATACTAATGAGCTCATTAGAGAGAAGAAAGAGGATTCTGGCCTCTGAGGCTTTCACATCCTATTTAGTGTCGGTGTGCCTAGCACCTGTTGCAGTATTCCAGTTTAGAGCTGTTATCTGAAGACTGATGTGATCCCTTAAGTGCGCTTCACAGTGCAAAGCTCAGAATCTGGGCTAGAAAGGCATATTGAGCTGAGAGGCAATGGTGGGGGGGGGTCACAAGGAGCAAGTATGGGTGCCAAGACCAAGCAGGGTGGGGGAGAAGGGTGATAGAAGAGGAAGCATGACAGTCTCCCGTGGCTCATGCTTGTAATCCTAGCTACTAAGGAGGTTGAGATCTGAAGATCATGGTTTGGAGCCAGCATGGGCAGGAAAGTCTGTGAGAGTCATCTCCAGTTAACCAAAAAAAGCAGCAAGTGGAGCTGTGGCTCAAGTGATAGAGCACCAGCCGTAGCGAAACAGCTAAGGGATAGGGCCCAGGCTCTGAATTCAAGCCCCAGTTCCAGCAAAGAGAAAAGGAGGTAGCCAGGGAGAGGGGACTTCACTTCAGGGGTGATGTTGCATCAACTTTGAATGGAATTCTGGAGATAATGATTCACAGCTGAACCTATCATAGTAATGGTGTCAGGAGCCAGCATGGAGCCATCTGTGCCTTCTCTGCAGGATAGAGGGGCTTTCTGCAGCAAGATGTAGGCATGAGGATGTAGACATGTTAGGATGCCCAGTCACTGTGGCAGCACTGCACCTGTCATTGTGGTTGTACTGAGTCCTTACCACTCAGGCAGGTAATACTGTGGGGTGTAAAAGAAGGCTGGTAACTTGCAAAGGTCCTGTGTAGAAAGCTTTCAGGATCCCCCCTCAACTGTCTCTATCAGGCCAGTCCTCGTAGGAACACTGGCTATTTTCAGAATCCGGAGCCTGTGGTATCTGAAGTCATAGGGCAGGGTCTCTATTTAGGGCCTGATCTGACAATCCATGCAGAGCAAATGAAACTGAACAAGTGAGCCTGACAATAGGTTGACAACTGAATAGCTGTGTTAGATGCCAGTTACTATGCCTACTCCTCCCTCCCAGAGTTCAATAATAGTGGCCTCTTCTTCGTTGAGCCATCGCATAGGATATCTTGAACTCAAGATTTAGTGCTCTTTGCCACAACTGAAACTGCACACTCCACTCCACAGCCCGATGATCTGGTCCCCACCCCTGATTTGCTCTCCTGCTCTGCCTTATTGGCCTTTAGCACAGAAATACCAGCTCTTTTCACTTTTCAATGTACCATCTTCATGTTCCTTTTCTTTTTCTAGCACTTTCTGTCGTTCTTTAGTCCTCTGCAAAGCATGTTCCTAGCAGTGGGATTCCAAAGTCATTTATAAGTGGAATCCCCAGGCTGTCTGCTCACAAGCAGCAAGTGTGGAAAGGTGAAGGCATTTGCCCTGCTGCCTTCTTCATGCTGACCAAGTCAGCACCATCGCTGTCATTTACTTTCATTTCCTGCTCACCAAGCTTCAGGCACTGTAATAAGTTATCTCTGAGGTGTGGGAGGGAGCTAGTCTATTGTAGGAACCCTTCCCAGATGGGCAAAAAGACTTCCTTCTTTGTTTCCTTGTGTTGTGAGTATGCACAGGTATCAAGCCCCATATACATATGAGGGCCTCAGAGCAGGCCTCCTGGGCCACTTTCCTTCCTCAACTTGCGTTTTCTAGTCTCTACCTCCAGAAACCCCTATTTTCTCATCCATCTGGTGACTTGCTTGTGAAATCATTTATCTGTTATTTTTCTCTGTACATAGCTTGTATATGTACCAATCTGTATCAATTTGGGGTTCATTTATACAGTTTCATATATTCCTGCACGAGGAACTTACAAATGCTGACACTGAATCTAGGGTTTTGTTTTCTTTTTAAAGGTAGATACTGGGGCTTGAACTCAGGGTCTTGGACTCTCACTTGGCTTTTTGCCACTCAAGGCTGATGCTCTACCATTTGAGCTAAACCTTTACTTCTGACTTCTTGTTAGTTAACTGGAGACAAGAGTCTCATGGACTTGTCTGCCTGGGCTGGCTTTGAATCTCAATCATCAGATTACAGCCTCCTGAACGGCTAGGATTACAGGCACGAGGCCTTGGAGCCCAGTTCTTAATGTTTGGAAAGGAACAAAATTCATAATTGACGCTATAGGGATCAAATATACATATGCTAGCAGGGAAGAAATTAATATAGGATTACAGTCAGAATTTTAGCAAGGAAGGGATATAATTAGTTCTGTATTGAGAGTGAGTTGGTTTATTCATGGGTCACTGTCACAGACTCACTTAGAAGTCACATTTCTGCCCATGGTTAATGTGCTTATACATTACAGACCCTGAAGTAATAACAGCCAAGCCATGCCATTTGTAATAAATGACAAGACTTTCATAATTAAAAATATACTGAAGAACTTTTAAGAAGCAATTACTAAATGTCCAGGAAGTCTAGTTTGAAATAACAAATACCAGCCAGGCATATGGTACATGCCTATAATCGCAGGATGTTGGGAGGCTGTGGAAGGAGAATTATGAGACCAGCTGGGGATACATAACTAGATGCTGTCCAATAAATAAATATTGAAATAAGAAGAAATATAAATTCTGTGTTAGCAACTACTTCGAATCATCATTGTTCCTTTTATAAGAAACCCAAAGCTTTTCTTTTAGTGAAGTAGTTGATGAAATTCTTTGTTTTTCCTCTCCTGTTCAGCAATATATGTGATTATAAAAACAGACCCAAAGTGCCTTCTGTTGAATGGTAATGTTTTGTTGAGTAAGGAGAGGCCTAGAACAAACTTCTAGCAATGAGCCACCAAATGCATAAAGGATTTATTTAGTAGATCCTTCCTCCCGGAGATGTCTACGGTCTTCTGATAATGTCTAGTTCCATGCATGGGGAAGACAGCTGAAAGAGGACATTCATGCGGCTTCTGGCTCACATCTGGTCCTCTGAGTCAACCAGTCCAAGTACCTGAAGACGCGCGCCGGGTGGGTGTCACTTCCGGGAGTCTCATCCACAGACAGAACACGTGGGGCGGGGCTCTTCACCTTCACAAACACGGCCTGGTGGTGGCAACTGGACAGGCGGGGCCGAGCGAGGCTTCGGCTCTGACGCCTGGAGGTGCAGGCGGCGCGCGGCCAGGGGAGCTCCGGCGGCCGCGGCGTCCCCGCCCCGGCCTCAGCCCCTGATTGGGTGCTCCACCCGGCTCCAGCCAGCTCCTGGCTGGGACAAGGGCCAAGCTCAGCGCTGGCTCCCCGGGTCTTCGCAGGAGATTTAAAGCCCGAAAGTTGTGTTTGGAGACAGTTAACTTTTCGCTCCGCCGTGCGGAGAAAAGCCGGTCTCCGTCTCGGACGGAGAGCTGGGGTGCGCAGGTGAGTTTTGCTTTTAAAGCCTTGGTTGCAGCTATCCGGAGTATGGTGGGCAAGCCACCGGGGGTGATGGCTGGGGGTGGGGGGAAGGGGTGTATTGCACGCGCGCGCGCACACACACACACACACACACACACACTCTCACACAGTGCTGCCACAGTTGCACGCAAACCGGGTTTCCTTCCTTTGTTATTCGGACCCCCAGAAGCTCACAGCCGACACGAGACCCCGACTTAACCCACAGCGATCGCAGAACTGCAACTCAGTTAAAACTTAGAACCCGCGAGTGAGTAACCGCTGCTGAACCCAACAAATGCGTCTGGCGTGCAACAAATGCTCCGAGCGGAGGAACCGCGCCGAGGCCACTAGTTTCGGACAGGCGCTGTTGGCCCAACACCCAGCCCAGCCCCGGACCGCCTCCAAGCGTGGCCCGGGGCCCCTCGGTGGGTCGCCCGTAGCGCCCGGCTGTTGCTCGCGGGGCGGGGTGCGTCCGCGGACGGTCTTTCTTTGTGCGGC